ACATGAGAGCTGGAACTCTCTTCTGGTATCAGCCAAGTCCTCCTTGTTTTCCTGCTGTAGCGGGGATTTGGTTACTCTGTCCCTGTCCTCTAGCTGTCTTCGCATTTCTTGCATGCGTTTTTGGTCAGCTTCTTTAAGTTTGCTATAAACCTTGACTCGTAATTTTAGCTCTTTAATTTCCCCCACTGCTTGTCTAAGGAGGGTTTCTGATTGGTCAAGAGATTCAGTTGTGTCTTTAACTTTACTTTTGGTCCACTCTAACTCCTGTTCTTGCTGAAAGAGTGAGTGTTCAAGCTGATTGGTCTTTTCCTGCAGCTCAATTTTCTCCTCATCGACTCCACCCTCCTGTGGGAGGTGGCAAGGAGCCTGTAGGTCAGTGATGCGTTCTTCCGCTTCACTTAGTGACTGCCTGGTGTTTTCCAGCTGCTGTTCAAGCTGGTGCGTGTGCTTAGACTGGGCAGACATTACAATAGCTAGTTTTCCTAGCATCTGGGACAAGGCTTTGTCCTTTGAGGAAGTGGCTAGAGCAGTTGTTAGCAGCTCTGCAAAAATTGTTTCAAGGTTCACCGCATCGGTGCCTTGTATTGGCTTGAGTAGCCAGGTACCATGGTCTCGGTCATGTGGGCCAAGATGGAGTCAAAGTGTTCCAGTGGGTCGCCCCCACTGGCTGCCACTAAGCGTGGGTCTGCCATGTTCACAGGCAGGTGCTCAAGTGGTTTGGTTAAGGACTTTGCTGTGAGTCCAAATCAGACAACAAACGAGTGTGTCAACTCAGAGGATATGCATAAAATACAAAAATAAATGGGTGTTGCTTCTATAGCTTCCTGGAGCTGTTGATGTTCCTTTAAGTTAATTTGGAAGGCTGGAATCTGAAGAAAAGGATCTAAATCAAATCTATGGACTCAGTTATACAATTTGGTTTAATAAAATCAGAAGTGGACTACAGGTGTTAGCTGGTACAGCAGACCTGAGCCAGTCAGTTAAACAGAGTTTCAGCTAGTGTGTTTACTAGTTGAGAAAAAGGGATGTCAGGTTGGAGAAAGCTGACTTTCAAGTCAGACTTAAATGCCCAAACTGAAAATTCAAATTTAGGGTGAAGGCAAAAATAGGAAAATGAAATTAAATCACACTTGGGATTAAAGTTAAATGCTATAGATCAAATCAAAGTTCATGTTACAACTAGCTTGACAATCAAAGCTCAAAGTCCTTAATGATCAAAGTCAAAGTTGGAAAAATTGTTTGAGAAAAATTAAATTTTAGAATCAGAGTTCAAAATCGGGAAAATTAAAATTTTGAGATTAAAATTATTAAATTTCTAAAAGTTCAAAGTTACATTAACAAAAATCCCAGGCTGATTAAAGTGGATTGAATAAAAAAAAAAAAAATCAAAGCTGATTAAACTGAAGTTTAATTACCCTTTGGTATTATCAAGTTATCAAAATTCCAATTGCTATAAAAGTCAGAGTCCAAATTACATTTATAATGAACAAGGATTAAAGAAAGCCTAGTTGGAAAGCTATCAATTCAACTTATCAAGCTTAATGTAGGTTTCAGAATTCCAGTCAGTCCAAACAACAAAAGGTTAACAAAAATTCAAATCAAGATGTTATTCTGCATTTATCTTATTTCCTGCAAGGATCAAAAATAGCACTACAGAAAAGGCTTCAAAATGACAAAGTCAAAATCAGGGATATTGCAGCAGTAATGAGAATAAAGCTTTTTATTCAAATACAGCTGGATCAAAATTAGAAAAGCGAATCTTTGAATAAAAGATTGCATCAAAATTAACAGAACTACTCAGTGTAATCCTAGGTTAGGGTACGAAATTGGCTCAGTACCTTGTTACAAGCAAACACCCAATAGATCTTTAAAAGTTATTCAAGGAAAAAGGAGAGCCTGTGCTCTATCCTACACTTAAGGAGTAACACTCCTTATTAATTTAATCTGAGAGTCGACACAATGGTTTATGTGTCTCAAGTTAACAAGATCTATCACCAAAGTCTGGTTTAATTCACTCGATTCAAACGCTCATCTCTGTCACTGATGACGCTGAAGTCGATTTAATGCAGAGCATGCAATTTATTCCGCCAGCCAGTAGGGGAGCTGTGGCTCCGCCTCGGGCGCGGCCTATTTCTCAATGTAGAAGAAGAAGCGGCTTCCTCTCTGGTCCTCGGACCCAACAGCTGTTAGCTTCAGGCTAACGCAGTTAGCAAACCGTCGTTGCAGCAACGGCAGTAAATCAGAACACTGACGGACACCAGTCCCGCTCAAAATGGGGGAAGGACTCGCTCCTTTGTTTCAATGACTCAGCTTGCTTTCAAGCTTCGATTTAGCGTTAACTTAGCTCGGTAGGTACAACGCTACAGGCTAAACTCGGCGTCTTCACGCCTGTGACTCCACTGCCGGGCAGCTGTATTTGTTGAAGTAGCTAATTTCAACAGGATACCGGAGTTTTGCATATAACATAACAATCCACGGCTCAGCGCGTCAGACTGTTATTTATAGCCGCAAACAAATCACATTGGCACAGCGCAACTGTAATCTGTCTGCCTCTTATTAGGCCTTAAAATTATCAATATCGGTTAAGTTTCTCTCAACCAAAAGGGCATTTCATCCGCTCGTCAGCGGAGATTGTGTGTAGCTTTAGCTCAGATTTCTCATATGGCAACGTTACAGGAATGCATTCAGTTTAACATTAGCTCGGCCCTCATAGCTCAGCTCACTACAGCTCTGTACTGAACAACAAAGAATGATGGCGCGGCGGCCAAACAAGTTGCACAAAGCATTTCATTTCACAACAAAGAACATGGTCAAAACTCACACACACTTTCATCACTAACGTTAAGTTAAGAGGGAAGACAGAAGAGTTTCTAGGGCGATAATTATTTCAGTGGCAAAATTTTGGAGGGAAAAAATTTTCCTCAATAACTTTTCTCAATAACTTCTCTGCATCAGGGCTGTGTGTATAGTCTATTATAGTATGTCACAAGGCCTCACACGGGGCACCATTATGTAGTGGACCTAAATTTATTAGTTATGCATTTTAATAAATTTATGAGAATTGATACCCAATTATGAATTATTATTCATAAAATCAGAATTTCCTCGTAAAGGGCACCACCGGAGTTGTTATAATCCTAGAGTCTCCGGACCTCTAGGTAGTTTTGAATAATTATACAATTATTACTAGTGATCAGTTAGTTAATAATCGCTCAATTTTCTTAAATCAGTCAGTCTCATATCTAAAGGGTCAATTCTCTTGGCAGGAACTATAAATAGGCAACACACACAGCTCTTGATTATATTACAGTGAATTTATTCTCTAACTAAGGTGATAAAAGATGGTTGGATACAGGGAACATAAACATTTGCTGAACAATGAGCCTGGAGGTTCGATTGTGGGAAGCATTCGACTCATACGGCATAGAAGAGCTAATGAAAGTAAACTAATGCTATAATTTAGGAGTTAAAATGGACATCTGATCACAGGACGTGTGTTAAGTCTTACTGCTTGTCGACAGCCTGCTTTTGGCCTGTTGCACGGGTCCCACGCTAGCTGCCGATCCTGGCTTTTTGCTAGGGATTGTCCGGGGTTCTCCGTGTCTGATTGAAAATGCCTCCTCCGTCTGGCAATTCGGCTGTTTGCAGGTTTCCTTGGTTGTAGCTGGCGAGACCACGTGGCTTGGTCTGACCTCGGTGAAGTTGGCTCGACGAAAAAGGCTTAAAATGGAACTTGGTCGTTCCTGAATTAGTCCAGTGTAACTTAACGGACTCATAACTTTAACAAACAAAAGAAATAAAGAAAATAAAACAAACTGAAGGCAGATCGATGTCGCGGCACTTCAGGTGTGTAGCTTCAAGCGAACAAAGGCCTGTTTGTTTCGCTGGCCGAGTCTGGGCGTGTTGCCTGGCGAGGCACGCCACGCGCGTGCCGAAGCATCCAGAGGGCAGAGACTAAGAGTCTAGAGTCTAGAGACTGGCGAGCAGGTCGCGTGTCGCTCTTTTGTTGCCTGGGGCGTGGTTCCCCATGGGGCGTCTCAGGTTTCCCCAGGAACTGCCTTCCTAAACTTAATGTCTAAAGAAAAGAAATTTATTTGCACGTATTATAATCAAATATTTTCCACAATCGAACCTCAGTGGTTGAACGGTTGTACTATTCTAGGCATTTGGTAACAGGAAACAATTGTCACATTATTGGTCAGTATTTTTATACATTTAACCGCATTTCCGACGAGGGCATGTAATACTTATTTCGTCCACTTGGGGGAGCTCAGGTTACATGAGGAAAGCTTGGATTAAATCAAAGATCGTCTCTCCTTAGGAACCGGGGAATATTGTTGATTCATCCTTAAATTCAAGCTGGCGATTAAGAGTGTAGTAAAACATTTCTTTGTCATCATTTCTAAAGGGATTTTGTAAGAAAGTATTATGAACAAGCATTGATTACATTAGATGAAGGAGTGTCTTGCTGAAAATAAAAACATTGCACAAGTAACTTCTTTTCAGCACTAATATCAACAACAGATAGCAACAACAGTTAACATAACTGCTCAATAGAGGCAAACATATTCAGGTAACTAAAGATTTAATTAAATTTAATTAGATGCTTTGAGTCTTTTGGAGAATGCAGTCCTTTGTCATCCAAAGTTCAGTGTCTGGAACATGTCACACTTAGGTGAGACAAGGAGTATCCTTTTGATGTGGTAATAAAACCAAGAATAAGGTCAGTTTCCACGGAAACGTGTGTGGTGGGGTAAGTTTTGATAGGCTGTTCAGGGAGATGCCAATGGCTGGCTCGTGTCCCTTTGTCAGTTTAACAGTCAGGCCCCGCGTTATCAGCTTCGGAATCAAAAATGGTGCCAGTTTTATGGTCGGGCTAGCACTTAGAGAAAGCAACTTTGACCCCTCCCCATCTTCTCTGGGGAGGAGAAAGGAATTTAGGGTAGCTCCACATTCATTCAATATAAAATGCACAAATCCACACTGTTGTTCACTACAATGTTATTCTGAGGATTACTAACGGCATCAACAGGAGGCCCACAATCAAGTCTGAGACAGCCAGAGAGAGGAGGAGAATGTTGGTGGGTGTGTGCAGCTGCCTGGAGGGAAAGAGGAAAGTACAAATTACCACAGAAACCCTAGCTAAAAGTACATGTCTCATATTTTCTAAAACTTTGCTGAGAAATTGATCTCTGCCTGAAGTGGGAGACTGAGATGATGACAAGCAGGTTGAGAGCCACAGTGAGCAGAGAGATGGAGGACAGAAGAGTGTTCAGAAATACAGCTTCGGACCGAGGAAGTGTTGGCTTCCTGCAGGAGGTGTTGAGGAGTTGTGGAAAGCAGAGCTCTGCTCCGTCATCAACCTCCATCAGACAGTGAGAGGAGGAAAAGAGGAGCTGCAGCTCTGACCAGAACACTTTATCATACAGTTGATTTATCTCTTTCTGACATTCAGTTTGTCCCTCCTCTCCTCTTTCTCAGTCTCTGTTGGACACTGATGTCCCTCCTCACTTCTTCACATTACAATGTCATCATCTTCATCACTTTCTCTCCAATCCGCCACGTGTTTGACCCTTCTGTTCACAATATAGTAGTTTAGGTTTGGTCAAATATAAAATATATATATAATAAATACTAAAGTTATTAATAATACTAAAAGTATTAGTAAAGATGAATAAAAAGGGGATCAGGAACAATAACCAAAATGTGAAAGTCTTAAAAGTTTATCCACAGAGAAATGTCAATACGACAATAATATTATCATACATTAATAAGGTGGACAATGATGGGTGAATCTGAACATGGACTGTAACAACCAGCACATACACAAATAACCAAAGGCAACTGCTCTTTAAGGTATAGGGCTGGAACTCATTTTGGCACTCGGTATACCTCCTGGATAACCAAAATGGGCAAAAAAGTGGGGCGTAGGTGGAGCTGAGGTGCCTGCTTGCTGAAACATTGCCCACTTTGTTCAACACTACCAAGCTAGCTAAGGCTAACAGTTTAACATTTTGGTTGGTACCCAGTCGTCATCCCAGCTTTGCATTTGCCGTAAGTTAACCTATTCAACAAAACTAGATATAATGAATCATCTGTTATTGAGATTATACACAAGGTTTAAAATGCTTCAGCGTTTTTAAAAATGATATAATTGTGGTAATTTGCAACACTGGATTTTTTCAGGACTTGCAGATGTGTGGCCAGTGTTACCATGAATCAGCGTAACATTTATTAATACATGTCTAAAGAACTATTTTAAGCAAATCACTTAACCTGAATATAGATTATTACATAATTTTAGTTGTCACTTAATTATAATGTTACTTCTAATACGTTAATGTTAATAAGCTAATGTCAAGACATGATCATGTTAGCTTGCATTAGCTTTTTTAGTCCATTAAGGAATTAAGAAGCGTTACATCGCCTACAGCCTTTCTACTAACAAGTGTTATGCCGTCAAACACATTGGTAGAATCAATTAATTGAAAGTTAATAAGTTAAAGTTCCGCCTGTTGACATTTTGTTTTTGTAAAACACTACCAGGTGGAACAGTAAAAGTTAAGACAGCTTAACAGTTATCTTAAAGTTAAGAGAGTTGCACTACCCATGGTGTCTGATCAGCATCTTGATATGCCACACCTGTGAGGTGGATGGATTACCTCGGCAAAGGAGAAGTGCTCACTAACACAGATTTTGACAGATTTGTGAACAATATTTGAGAGAAATAGGCCTTTTGTGCACATAGAGAAAGTCTTAGATCTTTGACTTCAGCTCATGATGAATGGGGGCAAAAACAAAAGTGTTGCGTTTAGAATTTTGTTCAGTGTATATTCGTAAACAGTCCAACATACAGCCAATAACAATATGCCATGTCATCATACAAACTTACAGCCAATCACGTTATGTCACGTTACCAGCAGGCGCAGGCCCCTGAACACATCTGACCATCCGAGCACATCTGGTACCTACACTGTGACAAGCAGAACGCATAAGCTCGTCCCCACCACAGTAGAGGTACCACACGATTGTCATCTGCCACTGGTCCATCAGCCGCTGAGAGTCCACTTTCCGCTGCCAAAATCCTTAAATCAACAGCGAAATCAGCTACTGACTGAATACCCTGATGAAGAGAGAGTAATCTATCTCCTGCCTCTCTTCCCCTAACTGGAAGATCAAATACTTTCTTTAATCTCATCCACAAAAGAGGGTAAATGGTGGCAAATGGGAGAATTACTTGAACATAATGCTGTGGCCCATTGAGCCGCTCTACAAGGCATGAGCTTATCGTGAAGGCTAACGCCGGTCATCTGTATCCTCCAGCCCATTTGACCAAATTATTCTGTTATGATTTGTGTGTGGCAGACTCAAAGTGCGGACACAGAACACTCAAGACATCAAGTAAACAAAACAATTATCCAAAAGGTGAGTAGTGTGGGAGCAAGTGGCAGGCAGGTGGTTCATTTACACATAGCTTACCTTTCTTCATAAGTTCTTTTTAATTGGTAGTAAAAGGTTAACATGGTCCAAGGCAGCTCTATAAGCTTTGTACTGCAGTATTTAGAAATAGCTGTGTCTTTTTATATGAAAGTTGTTTTTACAGATTTATTATGGATATGGTTTAGGCTGCCAAATTTTACATAGAATATTAATATTATTAATACTATATTAAGATTTTGCTGATGAATTCTCCTGTTCCCAGACAGCCCCAGCTTCTCCTGTTTCCCCCATTCACTTTCTTTGAGTGCCTGTGAAGCGGTGCGAGGCAATTTATTTTATTTTAATAACCACACAATCAACCTGGTGGTTTTACGTGTAAAGCATGTGAGAGTACGGTTACAACAGCCACCATGTATACAACTGTAGATGGTCTTCTACTTAGTATAGGCTTTGTCCTCTATGGCTATTGTTGGGTTTGCCATTATGCACGCATGAGAAAAGCTTGTCCACACCCACCAGCAGCGTGTGCCTCTCCTACGTCCATACCTTGTATATATATACAACAGTGAGACCTAGCCATCAGCTCACATTTTTCTTCAGCACTGAGCTGTCTAAAGAGCAGAAGATTATCAGCAAGAAGAGAAGACACATGTACGACAACACTGTCTTCTCCAGCCCTCTTCCCTTGCCGATCGAGTGGTGCGGCGATGAGCCCACTGTTGAGAATTATTGTGAGCCAGCTGTCAGGTGTGAAGAAGTTTCAGAGACTGATGAAGACTTAACATAGCCTGGTGCCAGCATACAACATGTGAACACGTCAAATGCCAACACCAAATCTGAAGGATAACATCTTGTGGTCCCTTTTATGTTTCTGTCTTCTCCCTAGTGCCTGTAGGTTTCTCTATTAGGTCACCTTCACCTAGAACACCTAATCTATCTGATGTTTAGATTCCAATGCTTCGTCATTTTGGAATCTCTCACTATCCAAGAGTTGTACTCTAATCTGTGGAGCCAGTTAGTTCTTGTAAACATTCTTGTATGGCTCAACCTTGTAAGATTCGCTGATAAGCGCTGTGAGATAACTGTTGTTGTGATTTGGCGCTATATAAATAAAATTGAATTGAATTGAAGATTCCCAGAGAACACAGATATCTGCTAGCCTGACGTCTGAGCTACTAGCTCTCTAGCTAATCAGTCTATTGTTGTCTTTTTGACGAGGACAAGTACGTGTGAGAAATACCTAAAGCTATAATGTCAAACACTTATGGGGTCAGCTAAATTACTCTAAGCTAGACCTGTCTTACCTTTCCCTGTTACATCAATTAAGACATCTAAGAATTACTCTCACACCCATGAGTGTGGCTACGCTACCTCGTATGTACCCCCTGGCAACACTGTCTGCCCCTGCCCCCCTCCCCTCATCAGGGGAGCGACACGGTAATGAGACCACGGGTGTGGACCCCCTGGCGACTGTGTCTACCTCTGTCTCCTGGCTGCAGCTGGCCGGATGGCCTTCATGCAGCCTGGCTCCGATGTCACAAACTGAGCATTTCCTCCTCAGCCTACCTGGTGGGGGGTACGGAGGCTTTGCACCCCCCTGACTGTTTGAGAAGGTCTTTCACAATGTGGCCTGTGCCCCCCTAAGCGGCGGAGCACAGAGTATTGACTCATCTCCTCTAGTGGCCATGCCTTCCCATTGGCTGTTTTCCTGCTCGATGGGCAGATGGATGCACAGCTTAAACCACCGGGGTCACAGGCTGCAGTTCACATCCCCCCTTCACCGGGATAGTGAAGTCCGTGCTCTCCCCAGCTCAGAACGCCTCCCTCCAGGCGGAGCTTGAGGAGCTCCTGGAAAACCATGCTATCTCCAGGGTTCCTCTGGGGCAGGAGAATCAGGGGTTCTATTCCTGTTACTTCCTGGTCAAGAAGAAGATGGGGCATGAGGCCCATCCTTGATCTGTCACTGTTCAACAAAGTGATTATAGAGAGACCTTTTCGAATGCTTACAGTAAAACAGGTGTTGAAGGGTGTATCTCTGGCTCCCCTCCATTGACCTTAAGGACACGTACTTTCATGTTCATGTCATCCCAGAACAAAGAAAGTTCTTGTAGTTCTCTTTGCGATGGGCCCAGTACAAGTACAAGTGCCTGCCATTCCGTTACTCCCTGTAACCGAACGGCCATCCCGACACTTTCTCCAAGCGTGTCGAGATGGGTCTGGAGCTGGTGCAGCAAGTGGGCATCAGGGTCCTGTTTTATCTGGACGACCTGCTGCTGCTGGCACTGTCTCTGTGCAGCTGTCCCACCTGGGTTTTGCGGTGAACTGGAAGAAGATTGATCATCTCCCCTCCTAGAGGCTCACCTACCTGGGTGTGGTGTTGTACTCCTCTTACTCGAGAGTGTGGCTCTTTCAGGAGAGGGAGAACGCTCTGATGGAGCTGCTCTGCTGTGTTGTTCCATGGGCGGTGGTGACGGCTCTGACGATGATGAGGCTTCTGGGTCCCATGTCAGTGGGTCACGAGGTGGTCCCCCTGGCCCTCCTGCACATGAGGAGGTTACAGTGGGGGTTCATCCGGTGAGACAGAGGCAGCGCCTGATCTGGGCCACCAGATCAGGGTGGAGGCACCTCTCGTCCGGGCGAGGGCCCCCACTCGACATGTTGTCCGCATCTCTGATCAACACGCCAGGAATATACTCCGCTCTGATGGAGAGCAGATGAGTGTGCGCCTACAGGAGAAGCCTCCTGGCTAAGCACAGCAGCTGCGCCAAGCGCACCCCACCTTGGCGGTTTATGTAGGCCCCTGCAGCCTTGTTGTCGTGGGGCTCACTGGACCTTGGTTCTCAGAGCTGAAGAAAAGGCACTATGGGAGTCGATGGCTAAGTCTCACCATTGTGTATATTTACAAGGTACAGACATAGGAGAGGCCCAG